TTTTTTTTTTTTTTGCACTTCTGTTCTTAGCGGCTCTCTCCTCCAATGTTGCCAGGCGGGAGGGCAGGCGGACGCACAGGCGTTGATGCCAAATCTGCCACCTCGGGCGGCGGCGGCTGAGCCAGGTACCCTGCTCTCCAGCTTTCCCGCTCTGGTGGCCGGGGACCCATCCTGTACAGTTAGAGCCGGCCGGGGGAGAAGGGGCAGCTGCCCTGCCAAGAAGCTCATCACCCTCAAGGCAAACACCTCCAACCCTCAGACCCCCGGGAGATTCAGAAGCGCTAGACGGTCCAGGGGCGCGCATCCTCACCTGTGCGCCCCAGGGCCTGACGTATACGCTACGCATGCGCCATCCCTCCCTAAACTTTTGCGCCCCGCCTACGCACGCCCATTGTTCGCTCACAGGTTGCAGAGTATAAAAAGGCAACAGGCCAAAGAGAGCGCACTCCGCTTTTGGCCGAGTTGGCAGCTGAAGGAGAGTGCTCGGAGCCCAGCTCTCTATCCAAGGACCAACCTCACCCAAGTTCTCTAGGGGCAGTTACTTAGGTAGGCCCTGCCCCTCACCCCCGCCCCAGGCACTGGGGGACCAGCACCTGCCAGGAGGGCTCGGCTGCCCCCAGCCCGCTCCCCGCGCCCACCGACTTCCCGTGGCCGGCCCGGGTAACCCAGCTGTCTATGGCCAGCTATCCACTCGCAGGCCAGCCCACAAGTGTCCAGTGACTCTGCATCTGCGCTTTGCCACAGAGTCTCTGAGACCCCATTCTACCATCCCGCAGACCCTGCGCTCCTTTCTGGGGGTCCTTATCTCCATCTGCAGTCGAGGCCATCGGAAGAAGGAGGTGATGGGTGCTCGCACCTCCACGACATCCCGCAGCTCAGTGTCCGCAGTGGACACAGTCACTGTCAGTGTGGCGCAGGGGCAGCCAGTGCCACCCACGACACCCAGCTGTGTCCCGAACTACAGCACAGATAGGACGGTGTTGAGGGCCCTGGGAGAGAGTGGGCAAGGGATGGCCAAGGAGGAGGAAGTCCCCACAGTCACAGGGAGGAACGAAGACCAGAGAAGCAGCCCCGATGACACCGGGGGCGCACGATCTGCATTTAGGCCCCTGGGGGGCTCTTTCTTCGTGCCCAGGCCTGGACCTCTGCAGAGAGACCTCCATGCCAAGAGGGCAGAAGACAGAGCCAACAGGAAACCGCAGACCTCTTGTATGAGCTCCTGCCCCCAAAGAAACGCCATCACGAGCTCATATAGCTCCACCCGAGGTTTCCCGCCAGTGAAGAGAAGGAGGGGTCCCGCCATACCGCAAGGGCTGCCCCAGAAGTCTGCAAAGAAAGGGAGCGAGGAGGGCCCTCCGTCGCCCTCTGCAGCTCCGGTGGTTTCCCAGAGGAAAAGCCAGCCTGACAAAGATGCAGAGGCAACAAGAGGGCAGAAACGGACCTGGAGGAACGGCTCCCGCACATCTGACAGTCCCAGGCCCCGAAAACGCAGGATTCTTCTGCTGCTGCCCAGGCGAGGGGAGCCTCTGAGGCTCCAGACCTCTTGTATGAGCTCCTGCCCCCAAAGAAACGCCATCACTAGCTCATATAGCTCCACCCGAGGTTTCCCCCAAGTGAAGAGAAGGAGGGGTCCCGCCATACCACAAGGGCTGCCCCAGAAGTCCGCAAAGAAAGGGAGCGAAGAGGGCCCTCCGTCGCCCTCTGCAGCTCCGGTGGTTTCCCAGAGGAAAAGCCAGCCTGACAAAGATGCAGAGGCAACAAGAGGGCAGAAACGGACCTGGAGGAACGGCTCCCGCACATCTGACAGTCCCAGGCCCCGAAAACGCAGGATTCCTCTTCTGCCGCACAGGCGAGGGGAGCCTCTGAGGCTGCCCCCAGCCCCTGAGCTGGGTTTCCGGGTCACCGACGAAGACCTAGACTCAGAGAAGGAAGCAGCGTTCCGGCGCATCAACAGTGCGCTGCGGGGTGAGACCTAGGCCATCGGAGGCCTGGGCGCCATGCAGCCTTCCTATCCCTTCCCGCTGCCTGCCACAGGGGCTGCTTCTCCGCAGAAAATGTTTCATAGTTATTTCTATTTTAATATGATCATGGTACATTAAAATATATTAGTGCTTGCCTGTGAATACTAAGGTCGCTTGACTTGTAATTTTCTATATTGTTCTATATTTTTGTAACTAAAGGCATTACTTGGGTGAATTAAAAGAATATCTTGAAGCGATTTTGGCTTTTGATCTGCCACTAATTCCTATTTAACCTTAATTCAGGGGTCGGATTCTTTGACCCAAGGAAACAGAATAGTATAAAAAGAAAGAATGTGAGTGTCAGATTGTGGCAGTGATTAAGTATAGCAAGAGACGCCTTTGCAAAAGTTACTGTTGGTCCCAGAAGACTCTCACTTAGCTGTGTGACCCTGGGCAAGTCACTTCACCTAAATCTCTGAATTATAGGGCTGTGCTGATGATTTAAAAGTGACTGGGCACGGTGGACGCTCGGAAATCCTGGG